TTAGAATCGAAGGTCAAAGAAGGGGAAAATTGCATAGTTGGGAGACAGGCGGACCTCCTGAGGGTGCTGACCGACGCGCAATTGGCAGCGAAAGATTTGACGATCTAGCATGGCTCACTCTTGGCGCGGTTGGCGGGGTACGCCCACCGACTATCTAATCACTCGCCGCAGGTCTATACGTGGCGAGTGATTAGATAGCAGAGAGAGCGTAGTGTTGAAGAGGGCACAGCGATGAGAGTCGCATCAATGCGCAAATCAACGGGCAAGGAAGGGGTCCCATTTCTCGGGTTTCGGGCCGTTTCAAATGGTTTCTTCTTCATCCCTGCTCCACTGACCACCTCTACCCTTATTTCCAATGAGCTAACCTTTCATCGTACAATTCTGCCTTAAATGGGTTAGATCAGAACGTGCTGAAAAACTCACTATCAAGAGTCATGACATTGAAGATAGACATAGACGAAGACACATTGAAGGGGTGAGAGCGGCGAGGCGCACCTCCACGCAGTTACTGTGTCCATTCTTCTGTCATGTACTACGGCTCTTTTACTTGTCCCTTGCCGAATATTCAACTTGAACACAAAAATTCAGGTAATGGCCAACACCAACGATCTTTATGAAATGCCCCGACCAACGCTTGCCAAGGTTGTGAACATCGGTGGTGTTGGAATGGAATCACGAGATGCCAAGCCGCTTATAAAGGTGCTATTTTTATTTTCATTTAAAAATTTCTTCCGGTCAAACTTATTTTTCACTTATTCAGAATGTCGAAGAAATAATGCTAAAAGGGAGACGGGGTTGTGCTGTTTTCTTTCGGTTCGGTCGCTGCTGCACATAAAATGCCTGAAGAATGGAAAACGATCTTCCTGGAAACGTTCAAGGAACTCTCCAACTACCAGTTTCTAGTGCGATATGACAGTGACGATCTGAAAGGTTATTAAAGATTCCACCTTTGTTTGATGCACACTACCTGTTCTATGATAGTTCTCCTAATCACTGCATACTACACTTCAGTAATCTCTCAGAAAATGTGCATCTGTTCCAGTGGCTCCCACAGTCCGACATTCTTCAACATCCTAAGACTAAGGCATTCATCACTCATGGTGGATACAATAGTGTACAAGTAAGCAGAATCTCATTCACGTTTTGGTCTGAACTGTAACGAGCTTTGACATAAAGGTGGTATAACTCTCACGCAGTCCAATCGCGGGGATAGTATCTCACTAGGGATCAACCCTTCCTTTTGATTCTACTAGACTGGTGCCTCCGTAGTGGCTTATTTTAGTAGGAAAACTTGGGCATCTACACGGTACCTTCGCAAAACACTAATTATTATGTTAGTAGTTGGAGACACGGCGCATCCAGGAAAAAATGGTTTATTGAACTATCAAACATTATTCTTGAGACCTCTTCTGTTCTCCTCCACTCTGCGGTTTCAGAAAGTCATTATTTTCTGTAGAGGACCTTTCCGCCCACTCAGGAGGGAGCCTAAACCCATCATCGCGTGGTGATTTGCTGTAGATCATTGCACTTAAAGGCAGTGAACACGACGGCAAAAGGGTGGAGTGGTTCCAATGAGCTCGGTGTGATCGTGATGGGAGAGGACATTAGGTAGGCCGGTACAACGCCCCACGCGCTGCAAGGGCCTGACTAACCAGGGTAACGGGGCAGTGGTCAACCAACTTGTGAGAGTCCAGACAGAAAAGCACATACTTTCTGCTCTTCTAGGACTAAGCCTTTTGAAGGAAGGAAAGAAATCAGAGACGCTGTAATAGTGTGCATATGCGAGAGTGCCTAGAGAACACTACAAAACGCTGAATCACCAAGACTTTCGGTTGACCGCTGCCTTGGACGGACTAACCAGTGTTTGATTGACGTCATCTGTACCGCACCTTCAACCATCGTATATTCACTGCCTTCAAAATCTTCTGATACATGCAGATCTTCACTGTTGATATTTATGAGTGACTTCCTCGTGCTAGGTAAAAGTTCATTCATCAAATGATTCTGTGCTTGGCCTCAAAAACTCAGCAGCATTTTGATCGGAATTTTTCCATGACTAAGGATGTAAGAATGAAAGATCTAGAAAGTCAGCTTCAGCTACTTCAACCCGAACCAACTCCGGAGACAAGTTTCCAGCCAATTTAGTGATCAAGATTGTTCTGGCGCCTTTTGGCGCCGGCACTTGGGCCGCGGCGCCAGGCGTTTTCACGCCAAACGAATGTGATATTCGTATTCTATGGATCGAACTTACCCCCGGGGGCATGCTCAGTCAAATGAAAATTCTAATAAAAATCCATTTGTGGAGTGGGGCATTAAAGGGTTAATAACGCCAATTTGATAAATATAGTTCTAACAATGGCGATCATTCAATACAGCTTATAATACCCGAAGCATATGGAGAGTGTCGCCACCAGTTATTGGAAATGGTATTCAGCATTTCTCGGATCATTTTAGAAACCTGAAGCGGATCAACTTTTGAGTTCTCGTCTTGCTGGGGCATAAGTTGAATTGCAATAGGGATAATCACCATCTTTATTACACGGAATCCGTGATGATTCCCATCTGATCTTTGTGTTACAGGAAGCAATTCGCGGTGGTGTGCCTTTAATATCGATTCCACTTTTTGGAGATCAACCAAAGAATGCTCGTTTGGCTGAGCACCATGGATTCGGACTCGTCCTTAACAGGGCTGAACTCAGCGTATCCACACTCACGAAAGCAATCCATGAGGTGGTCCAGAATTCAAAGTGAGTCCTGCTTTAAAAATTCGAGCGTTCCTATTATCTATGGAACATGTTTGACGTTGCTGACGGGCGCGGGATTAAGGTATTAGAGCGGTTGACACCGAGAAATGGCGTCGGAGTGCGCCGCATAGTCGACTTTCTTTCAGAACAACACAGCACTTGCGTATTCCCTCTCCTCGCCGCGTTGTGTCTCTCCGTTGTGCTACGGTCGACCTCACAAGGAAAAGAAGGACCATCAGTGCCTTACTGGTCCTGTTTGTATCTTAAAGGACGAATTCACGATTAGAATGAAGGTCGAAGAAGGAGTAATTCACCTAGTTGAGGGACCCGCGGACCTCCTGAGGGTGCGGAACTGAAGCGCAATTGCACCGGAAAAGTTGACCTCGGCGACCTATTAAGGCTCAATCTTGGCGCGGTGGGCAGTGCACGCCCACCGATCATCTGATCACTCGCCGCGAGTGATCAGGTAGGTGAGAGAGCGTAG